TAAGGGATACAAGAATTTGTTTATTTTAGAATAATTATGAAGATCAAAATTATTTTAAGTGTAATAAATAAATGCAGCCACAAAATGGACAACATATGGATTTAAATGTATTTCTTTGGCTGATTGGGCCTCGTTTACAAAATAAGCTGGTTTTGTTATAGATAACTAATTTAAAGCTTTCGTTTGGAATACTACTGTAAAACAAAGGCATGTTCAGATACTAAAAAAAAGACTAAAATTTTTGAATGTGCTGCTGCTTTTGTGCAGAATTATAACTAAGGAATCATGTTCTGCTGGTAGAAAATATGGTTTTTGTGGATTTACTCAAGTTTTTGGTACAGTATGAGAGAAGTTGAAATTGTAAGGAAATTAATTATATCAAAATATCTTAAATGCTTATCAGTAAATTATTTATAAATTATAAAAGGAAAGTTAAATTTAAAATTAATTAACAAGAACTATTTGAACTGCCAATAATCAATTAATTGGGAGGAAAAAACAATTATAACAGAAGTTGAAAGCTATAACAGAAAGAATATGGATTAAATCCACAATCTTTCTTGAAAAGGATAGTATGGTAAAAACAAAAAGAAAGATAGTAAATGGATTGCTTTTTGGAATAAAAAACTTCTAAGAATGTTAGTGGATACTATAATGAAGGCTAAAGTAAAGATTATTGATAGATATACGCCTAAACTATTAGAAGTAAGTTATTTTTATTATAACATTATAGATAGTTAGGTATAAATTTTTGAAACTGGAGAATATTATAATGACCTTAGGATTGGAAAATGGGATTATATTTATTAGGATGTGAAGATGTAATATTTAAAAATTTGTTTGAGTGGTGGTTTGTACAATAAAAATGGTTAAAAGTAAGAAAATTGGATTGATTTATGAGAGAACTATTGGGAGTATAAATAATAATTTGATTATTATAGTCAAAAATAAACATAGAAAAGGTTGTTATGAGATGAAAAGAGATTGGTGAGCGGAAATATATTTACAATAATAATAAAATGCAAAAAAAATGTATAACCAATTAGTGGAGGAGGAGCTTATGATGAAAAAGGTGAATAGGCAAACGGATAGTACTGTATGATAGTTTTAGATTAAGCTGTTAATAAATTTTAACTGGAAAATATGATATGGGTAAAAAGGTTGGTAAACCAAATTTTTAAAAATTTTGGAAAAATTGATTTAAAAAATATCTTAACTTAATATGTAAGTAACAACATAAACTCACATAAAGAAGGATAATATATATTGGATGAATGAGACGAAAACACTTAATGTACCATAATTCAAATTTAGAACCTATATTGATAGGATTTATAAATAGAGGAGATTATTTAGAGATAGTAAACTAATGCAATAAGAAGCTATATTTAAAAAAATTAAATTAATCATAGATAATAATATATATGCCAAGCATAATAATTGATTATAAATATAAATTAGTGAATTCTATTTCAGAAATTAATTCTATTAGATCTTCAATAATACAAAAGAAGAAAGTCATTATTTATTATCTTGCAATATAATAAATAACTTACCATAACCGTAACTTAATATAATAAGCTTATATACATTTTCTACTAGGTCGTTAATAAAAAGAAGCTAAAGGATAGATAAATTAATTATTTTTATGAAAAATCAAGAGTAAGAAGGAAAGAAAAAATGGCACAGTATAAGACTATTATTAAGGAAATATATCGGAAATGGATAAATTAAGTGAAAATAATGATCCAACCATAACACTTACAATGATAGGTAGTAGATGCAAAAAAATAACAACTGATAAGAAACAAATATATTTGAGACAGACACAATGTTTAAGAAATTTGATTTTTCAGCGTTCTTCGAGATAGAATATAGAAAGGAAATAATTAAACTGTCAAAGATTATATTGATAAAATGTAAGAATCCAAAAGAAGATATTAAATAATCTATTAATTTATTATGTTTAGCAATTGCATAATGACTTTCTCATGAAAGTTAAAACGAAAATTATAAATTCCTTCATATTAAGCTAAGAAGAAATTTATTAATTAAGGTAAAGCTTTTATCCTATTTATGAAGATGTATTTAATAATTGTTATTTTGATAAAATTTAACAAAAATGGATTTCAAAGAATTTTAATATTTTGTGGTTCAAAGTCAAAGAATTAAATGAAATAAGAAAATATAACAATATTATTTTAAATTCATATGCTGATTTTGAATCTGCTTGGGTTTGGGTTTGGGTTTGGGGTTGGGGTTGGGGTTGGGGTTGGGGTTGGGG